GCGGCTCCAACTTCAGAGCAGGTAACCTCCCCCCAAGGAAAAAATGGTATGCTGAGGTAGCCAGACCGGACGACGTCTCCAGCTTCAGAGCAGGTAACCTCCCCCCAAGGAAAAAACGGTATCATCATGAGCAGACCTGCCCCTATCCCTCATGCGCAATCAGGACGGAGCATGTCAAATGGCATATTTATGGCCTTTTGCCTAACCTTGCATACATTCATCGTGAGGACCCTCCTTCTGCCGAAGCGCTTCCGCCCCGAGGGGATTTTTTGCGGTGGTTGCAGCTTGGTTGGTGGGGGATGGTCAAGAACCGGGTCAAGAACTGAATGGAACTTATAAACCAGGACTTTCGTATGAGCCGCCCTTCCATTCCGCCAGAGGTGGAGAGAGCCGTTAGGGCTCAGATAGAGTTTGAGGGATGGCCAATGCCGTCTTCTCTTTCTCTATCTCCCATCAACTCCCCTGCCTGGGATATTATGTTGGTTACATTCGGTCCTCATGTCCAGATATAATAAAAGTGGATTTCAGAGATTCCTGAAGCGGAATATCTGTCAGGGAGATCATGTGTTAATCATGCAGAAGAAAAGTGATAAGTTCTAGAGTAGATATGATCCAAGCCCTTGGCTTGCTACAGCTGTCAATGAAGGAAGTGAAAAGCTAAAACGCGGAAATGAAAATACTGCAACGAATTTAGATATGTCTGTATCATGTGCATAGTTCATTATTATTTCGGTATATATTGTTGCTTGTTGTGCAAGTCAAACTCTATAGTCCTCGAGTAGATTTACGATGTTGTTTTTTGTCCTCGAGGAATTCTGGACTTTTTATTGCGTAGCCCAGGGCCGCGCTCGTCTAGAGAATCTGCCCTCGTCTTACGTAACGGCAAGGACAGATACTCAGTCGCGTGCGGCCCTCGACTGACCCCGAGCGGAGGCCAGACTTTGTCCTCAGTTTGAGGACAGACTCTGCCCTTTAGCTCGAGGTCGGGTTGTGTCCTTACTGGAAGGTTGGCCTGCTAGAAAATAGTATAAATATAGCTCCCTATATAAAGCCAGGAAAATCTAAAATCAGGAGACTTCTTAGACAGACTTATTCTTGAGACTTCTCCTCAGGACTCCTTTCAGCCGCTTTCCAAATCTGCAGGCGTTCTGATAATTCACTTTACATGACTGTATTTAGTGCCAGTTTAGAGAGCACGATTTCTACCGAGTTGTCATTATTGAAAGTAATAAACGATGAACTGAAATTCACTATCGACCTACTCCATTTCTTCTGTCGCATTTATTTTGCATACGCGCATGGGTGAGAGAGATACTGAGCGAGAACTAAGAAGATACAATTAAGAGTTCGAGAACGAGAGCAGTCTGTATTAAACAGTTGTAATAAAATTTTGTTATGTACAATACCATGCGCTATATGTCACCAGTCCGGAAAGTATCATATTTGCAACGCGACTATGATCTCAAGAATGATCTTAACTGTATTTCCGAGCCTGTTTCGCATTCATTGCATTTCTGAACTCGTAGTCACCGACCCACTATGGGCCCATTACATCGAAGGATTACAAGATAGGCCTGACCAAGCCAATAGGCAAGAGAGAAGATATCAACAGAAGCTGGATAGCCTGCAGTTTAAATAAAAACAAGCTGTAATCTCGACTAATCAGATGCGCTATATATGCTACATGTATATATTCGAGTGCTATTCACTTCTATTTCTTAATTGATTGGATTGGATTTTAATTAATTCACGCTCAAGAAGACAAGATGGCACAAAAATGGGTATTGTTAGATTTTGGAGTAGGAAAAGGAGTGGAAATGGTAGAGACAAACACAGTGAAATAACCCAAACTCAGAAGGCAGGAATTAAAAAGCACTGCATATAACTTCAGCAGAGACAAAACAGTCACATATTCGGACCCGAGGACAAAGAAGGGGGAAAACGCACAACAACAAGGCTACAGTGCGAAGGTCCTGCTATTTGGTGGTAAGCTACTACTAGTACTACTAGTCTAGTACTAGATCTAGATCTAGACCTAGTCTAGGCCTAGACTCTATAGCCTAACGTAAAAAGTCACCGTTAATTTAAAAAAACAAAATATCGCCTGTAAATGTAATAGTGTAAAGCTATCAACAGAAGCTGGATTGCCTGCGGTATAATTTTTTTTTTTTTGAGCTTCAAACGGTGCATTACTACCAAAACAAGAAAAACGGGAGGATCGAGATACAAATTTAGGCAAATAACAATGCGATTACACGAATCAAGGAAGATGAAATAGTCGCTGCCTTGACTTGGGATGAAAGAGGTGAGAAACTAGAAGACGATGTCATTGCATCAGTCCAGTAAGAAAGAAGGGAGATACAAAAGCAGGTGGTGGCATTGATTGGCACAAGAGCAGAAGAAAATGATCTCTCAGATAAGTCATACTAACAAATAAGAAGTTTTTCTTGACTTGATCTATAACCGAGCACATGGAGGCTAACAACTACGCACCCAAGAAGCAAACAATTATTTTGACTCAATAACAAAATTTGGAAGGTTTGTACTCGCGCATGTACTTGTAGGACGATCCCACTTTCCTGAGACACCGGCGTCAGATATTCATACTATCCTTGACAACATGGAAAACAAGATGGGCCTTAACAGGCCAAACCTACTAGAGAAACCATCAATAGAAGCAAGATTAACGGTGGTTTTTATGAAAAGTATTTTTTTTAGCTTCAAAGAGTAAATTAATGCAGAAAGATGATATGGTTGTGAGGACAAGATTTTTTGTTTAAACCGATATCACATTCACAAATTAAGGCATGAAGAATAAACTCAATACTTTCAGTCAACAATGTGGCCTGTTTGGTTAAACTGCACATTGAGTACTGTTACCATGAATGATAAATTCAATAATTTTTTGTTAGTATATTACACATTTTTGCAATTTCAATATTTGGAACATATTTTGTATGCATCCAATATTTCTCATTAATCAGTTAAGGATTTATAATGCAAAATAAATGGTAGATGTACATATATAATATAATGAGTATTTCTCAGTCAATTAAATTCATAAACTTTCATATTTTCACATGACACATGTACACAGCACAATCATTTTCAAATGGAAGAACATAAAAGAAAAAAAAATACATTAAGTGTGAAAGAAACATACACACACTCTGTCAAACATCTCAAATATCAATTGAACAGATTCACAGTACTGCTTTCTTGAGTACCGTACAAGTTATTGCAAAGAGTATTAAACACATTATTCTACCCCATCCATATGGATTAGAAACGAATGTCACACACCACATACACACACATCTCGAACCGGTCAAAGGTGCACGGATACGAGATAAATGGCCTCAGGGCCGACTTGGTCTAGGTGGAAATTATAGCTGAATTGTCCAAGAGCGCCGATTTGATCGAAAATACTTGGGTCAATTTTAGGCCTGAGTCAAACCATTTAACCGACGGTTATCCGACCGCATTCATCAAAACCGTTTAGCATTTCTCGCTCCGGTTAACCGTTATTTGCATACATTTTGGAATGTACTAATAGCCGATGATAAAGATAATCAAAGAAACCGCAGTGTAATGTTACACCCTGGCCGCTGCGCACCAGCTTTCTGGCAGCAGTAATCCCCATGAATGAATTTGTAAACAATAAAACAACCAGCCCCCTTCTCTCTTTTCTCACCCTCTTTATTCCCTTCTCTCTGCAATGTGTTCATCGCTCATGTACCTTTTCTTATTACTGCACTCTCAGCTCACAACTTTCTAAATGTTTACACATTCGATGGTCAGTTCCTCTCACATCCCTTCTCCCCCGAGTCTCTCTCTCTCTCTCTCTCTCTCTCAATATTAATATCCATCCCTTGCCGACTCGCCCCCTAAAATAATGTTCATATATAAATAAAATACAAAAATATTGATAACAATAATAATTGAAGTTTTGGAAATATCAATCAACAAAGTCTTGGATATTGTGAGTAATTTAAGTTTTTGATCATTCTTCTAATTAAGCCGATTAACACAGCCACCCTTTCTATCTAGTCTCACTTGTTTTACTTCTTTACTCTCTCGTGTCCCTGCCTCGTCCATGCAGGGACATGCATGGACATGCTAGCCCATGCATGCTCTCTCAGTCACACACACATGTACACACAAACCTCCGGCGCCCAAATACACTGTACATACACACAGATGGAGAGCTCATGCTTGTCACATGCACACATGTGGGCGTGGCTTCTTGACCTCCCACTGAACTGGGTAGGGTGAAAGCACGCGCGGTCACCAACCTGTAATTTATGCTGGTATCAAACTCCACCCACATAGCTAGAGAACCTTCCTGATTGGTCACTAACTTGGATCAGCTCATTGCAGGGTGTGTCTTGGGTGTGTGTGATACACACTTCCACATAATTTCATATGGCAATGATACATGCAGGGAGCTCTCTCCCTGACCATGTGCAAACATTGCATTGCAAAGGCATATATAAACACATCACAGATCTGCTATCTTCACAGAGTAACTTTGCAAGGTTAATCATGATATCAAATTCAGATGAGGAATAATAAGACATGTTTTATGTTGTTTATTACTGGTCTCTGTTTATCAGGATGACCCAATTTGTGCCATAGTCCGGGGCTGGGAATGCTCAGCCCTACAGTTTGAAGACCAGCAGGGTTCCGAGCTACAGCACTATTACAAATACTGTATTTTCACTTTTTCAGATTATTATAAAACGGTTAAACGAAACCGCCCGTATACTTTTAACGGTTAACCGTTTAGCACAAAAACCGTAATGACTCAGGCTTAGTCAATTTTCATACTACATACGTCTTTCTGAACACCCAAATTTAAGATTCCATGATGAGAATATGTAAAACAGTCACTCAAAATGAAATGTTGACAATTTTAAGTTGAGAAATTCTATATAACATGAAAATCATGGCTATTCATGGCCCTGTGTGTAGTTTGCACGTCCACTCAAGAAAACCAATCGCCATGTGAGGCTAAGTTGGCTCTAGTGAGAAGACCAAATGCCATGTGAGGCTAAGTTGGCCCTAGTGAGAAGACCAAATGCCATGTGAGGCTAAGTTGGCCCTAGTGAGGACTTAGCTCGACCTGAAGTTGCATCGTGGATCATTCAGACACAGTGCTTACGTGGTCTGTGATTCAGTCAGGTTGATCGAGGTAGGCCTGCATCATCATCTCCTGGACGAGCTGTTTCTTCATGACGATGGGGCCATCTTGAGATGAGCGCTGTAGATTTGACCCAAGGTGTGTTGTACCCTGGCTATCACCATGTCAACCGCCTCCAGCCATGGGCTTGATCCTCCTCTCTTCACCGATCTGAAATGGGAGAGCAATGAATGATATAATCAACTTCAAAGCCCGTCTGTACTAGTTTACAGGAGGGATCAGACCACCCTGCAAGGTCACTGGACAGGTGGTTATCTCATCAACTCAGTTCTCAATTAACATAAGAATAAAAGATCATGGGTGAACCAATGGTCACCAATTAAGCATTGTTTGCTACATAGAGGGCGCAAGTAGCTATAAGTAGTGAAGTTGGGCTTTAAAGGCAGCTTGCATTGTTGGGGACTGCTGTTAAGATGAATCACACTAACTAATGCTTGACTGCATGGTAATTTTTTATATCATCAAAGCTCACTTTTATCTTTCATAAATTTTGTATAATTACAAAAAAGGGTTTAAAAATAAAATAGGACAAAAAGAAGAAAAAAAAGGAGGGAAAATGTTTAGATCAATCACCTTCATATTTCTATGAAGTTAATTCCTCAGATCCTGTTTTCAAAGTGGCTTCAGAATAATTCAGTCTTTGATTTCATTGCCACAAATATAATGGAAAATTGATATTCACAGACCACTTATGAACTAGTGGGTGTAAACCAGACAGAGCAGTCTAGCTACATGTAACTGAACAGCACAGTTCCAGTGCTTGAGGGTAAAAGTGACATTTGAGTGTCGCTTGCCTCTCGTCTCGGCACGATGCAATTATTGCATTCAGCTTCATATTGCTACATCCTGAGGGGAGAAGCAACTGATGCAGGAAATAGACGAGCTTGTCCAATCCCCTCTCACAACATTTGTGTCCTTTTCTGCCATCTCGCTTTTCATCATCACTTGAACTCAATAAGTGCCTCCCCTCTCACTTTCGCTTTTTAATCAATTCCTTCTACCCTTATATCATTTTCCCACACAAATACCATCTTATCTCATCTCTCTCTTCTCTCTCTCTCTAACCTTTTTCTTTCTTTCTTCTCCCTTTTCTTCCCCATCTCCCTCTCTCTCTCTTTTTTCTTTCTTCATTTCTTTCTAGAGTCACAAAAGTAACATTTCTCTCTATTTTTCTTCTTCAATTTAACTGTTTTTTCTTTCCTTAAAATAGATACTTGCATCTACAGCATATATATTATCTCATGAGCTCCTACTATCTAAATATTTTAATATATCACTAGAATTTCCCCCATTTTTATCTCTCTCTTCCTTTATCCCTGATCTCTATCATTCTGCCCCACAAAATGTGCACCCTCTCCTGATTTTATTTCTCATCTATCTTGAATTTTAGAAATCTTTCCTACTCCCCACCCCCCCCCCCCCCTTCTCTCTCTCCTCTCATTCTCTTTCCCTCTCTGTCCACATGCAAGTTCATATTCTGCACCTCTCTTTAGAACTACATGTATTTAAATCCCCTTCAATTTAATGGAAATCGTCTCCATACAGATATATCTGTCTTCAGGCCAAATATCAAGTAAAATGATACTTTTATAACGCAACTATTTATAACCATAATTATAGTTGAAATCATATGGGTCATCAAATGACCAAATATCTTGGGCTTGACCATAAAAACAAGCTGTTATCTTTCTTACCTTACAAGACTCCTCATGACATGGTCGACCATTTCCAGGTTCTTGTCCAAAATCAGCTCCCTCAAGTACTGAACGATGAAGCCTATATCCTCATCCACTGGGTCTACAACGGAAATCAAAGACAATATATCAACATTAATGACGAGACCTGGGCCCCATTTCACGAAACTTGTCATCAGTGACAAATGACAGTTTTGTTATAAGCTACTGAAATCCTTGCTTCTGATTGGTTATCAGCAGATTTGTCACTGATTTTTGTCATTTGTCATTTAAAAAAGGCTTTGTGAAAAGGGTCCCATGTTATGTAAATTATTGTTGAGTAGCAATGACCCCAGATACAAAAATATACCCAGGATATACAGAAATGAAGCCCACAAAAAATCTTAGAGGCAGCTCTTTATGCTACTCCTACCCTCCTCTCACTCCAAAGAAAATGAAAAATTACACAAATTAGCAACAAATCTGCTGATAACCAATCAGAAGCAAGGATTTCCCTAGCTTATAACAAAAATTGATATTTGTCACTGATGACAACTTTTGTGAAATAGGGCCCAGATTGGCAAATAGAGACAACAAAAAATAACATTATCAAAAGTTGATTGATTGGGAGACAGTGAGTGTGATTGTAGAATTATACATTTCTCATCCTTATATTATTTTTATTTTTTATATATATATAAACATAATTTTTTTTTTTTTTTTTGGGGGGGGGGGGGGTGGAGACAAGGAAGGAGGTATTAATTATTCATGACTGAAAGAAACTCATAAATTAGGGGTGAGAAATTCCTCGGATAAACTCATACCTTCCATGTGCAGGATGAAAAAACAAAAACAAACAAAAATTTTAAATCCAACAAGATTTTTGTTTTACCATCTGTTGATGCAATCCATGAAAACAAAAACAAGCAATTGCAAGGATAAGAAATGTATCATTCTCAAACACACTCACTGACTCCAAATCAATCAACTTTTGACCATTCAGGGTAATCTTATTTTTTGTTCACTCTATTTGCCAGTCTGGGCACATGTCACAAAACTTGTCATCAGTGACAAATAACAGTTGTTAATAAGCTAGTGAAATTATATTAAAATCCAACAAGATTTTTTGTCTTACCATCTGTTGATGCAATCCATTCCTTCAAGAGCACCTTCACATCCCACAGATGAACAGCACCACAAAGATTAACATCCTCCTCTTCAATCTCTCTCTCCATTCCATCCAACTCCTCCTCAATTTTATTCCTTTCTTCTTGTGGATTGCTCTCCTCATTCCTAAGGTGCTGAGGAATGCTGTCGCTAGGCAACCGTGCCTCCTCAGCCTGCCTACCGTCTCCGGAAGAGAGTTTGGGTGGAGTCTGGATGCGGGTGATGATTTGTTGGATGCCCATCTGCCATCTAGGTCTCTTGGGGTTGTTGGCTTTGCTGGAAGGACTTCCTTTCCTAAGATGGTAAAGACAAACGGCATGTTCAAAACGAAACAAAACAAGCTTTTTAATTGCACTGCCTTCCTCAGTATAATCTTATTCTTTTAATGCAACCTACTAAAAAATTGTGATGAAAACAAATTTTATGTATTTTTTACATTACAATAAATTATCTTGATTCTTGATCTTGATTCTTGAAAATTATATTGTTCAATACAAATTGCATGCATCAAATTTATCACTTTGATGTTTCTATTTATCACAAATAGCACTTTCAACACTGTATAAATTGTTGATAACTACATGCGATTTTTAAGAAACAAATATACAATATGCATATGAAAGATAAAAGTTTGGAAAAGGCAAGTAAATGTGCTTGAAACAAATAACTTGAAGGAAAAAAAAAGTAGACTCTTACCACTGAAAGAGCTGACATTCTGTTCTACAACACATGCTGCAGAGGCAATTGACTAGTAAAATTGTCTACACTAATTCAATGCTTATCTTTGACCCTGTACCAAACTTATACCTGACCCTATTGCGAACCCTAGCTCGTACTCTAAACCTAAAATCCAATTGCAAACACCGTAATAACCCTGTATATTTTTAAGAAATAAATCCCATAGAAGATTGTCACAGAAGCGAATGTTCGACTAGTTTGTGCTAAGAGCGTCGTGAAAATCTTTTTTTGAAGGGAAATTACAAAAAGGCAAAACACCAATAAAACATGTATTTTGTTTAGCTTCTGCAGTCTGCACACCACTCTAGGATAATGTCAGTTGCCAACAACACCACATTCTCCAACTGCTTCTAAACCAAAAAAATTGAGGGGTCAGTGAAACAAAGTCATAACTCCATTTTGGCCATTTTGAGAAAAGGTGGTTTATGTGTCACAGAGCACTTGGGTCTTAAGGAGTTAAGTCTGTGTTTCACTAGACATTGACTTCAATGAGGTGTTGGGTGGAGTTAAGTCTTTGTGTTTCCCGGAAAGCCCACATTTTTCTGAACGTTTTGATATCAAATACTAATTTTTATCAAAATATGGATTTACGTCTTTAAGTCACTGAACCCTTGAAATGTCCTTCACGATGAAACCCCTTACCGTGGTCTCCCCCTCTTCCTGATCTTGAATGGGCTCTTCCCTGGACTCTCTTTAGCGGGGGATGCGGTCTCGGGTCTAGTCTCCATCTTCCTGGTCTCTTTCTCGGGTTCGAGCTCATGGTGAGCCTGTGTCTGCTTTCCTCGGTAAGCAGATCTTAGTTCCTCTTGAAGCTCGGCCGGTAGTGCCTCGAGGCATGATGGATCAATCTGAAGGGACAGTTGAAAGGCAATGTCGGGTTAACATCCACAGAAGATTTTTAGGACATGGAAGAAATGTATGACTGGGATAATCAAAGGACATGCAAAATCTGGGGGAGGTTTCACAAAACTTGCCATCAGTGACTGTAACAGTTTCTGTTACAGTCAAACCTGTCTATAGCAACAAAAAAAGGTGGTCTTTATAGCCAGGTGGTCTTTGTAGACAGGTGATCACTTAACCCTTACTGTACTGGGGGGGGGGGGCCTGGGAGGCCCCCCCCCTCGACATTTTCAGAGATCGCGCCGCAACCGCTTGGAATTTTGAATTGTCGTTTCATGACTTTTTTCCCTCAAGTCTTACGCACATTTTGATACCATTTTCGTCAAAATCGGATATACCTGTAAGGCGTTACATAACAATTAGTATGCGCATGTCATCAAAAAAAAAAAAAAAATGAAAATCGCATCAAAATTTGCATAAATTATCATTATTAATTACATTAAAATAACTTTTTTGTGTTAGAAAAGAAGTTTCATATGAATAATGAGTTTCAACACTCAAAAAGTGGAGTTTGACACGTTTTCGGTAAAATGCATAAAATTAGTGCATTTTGCATAATTAATTAGGCTAACAACAAAAATTTGCATATTCGGAAAAAACTAATCATACCATCTTGTTCCTTACGTAAATATCTACGAACATGCAAATTTTCGTGTTCATCGGACAATCGATGGCCGAGATCATAGGGGGGGGCCTCCCAGGCCCCCCCCCCCCCCCCCCCCCCCCCCAGTCAGTGGGTGCTCAAAATAGCCCAGTACAGTAAGGGTTAAGCAGGTTTGACTGTATAAGCTAGTGAAATCCTTGTTTCTGATTGGTTATCAGCAGGGTTGTCACTGATTTTTGTCATTTTACGTTGAGAAAAGGCTTTGTGAAACATCCCCCCCCCCCCCCCCCCCCGATCTACTTTCATCTCCAGCCAATTTTGATATTCCTTTTGGGATTCAGGTTCACAGTAAGCAAGTAGATGACTTCCTTGATAAGCTGATCTAGACTCACCATTGCCCATCATTCAGTGGTTGTGGTTGAGGAGTACAAAACCCTGTGCATGTAAGCAAAGTTGGACCTAGAATCTGTGTGGACCATATTCAATGCAAGCGCATACAGGTGGGCTGACTAGTTTACTTACTAGTTGCTTTGACTTTAGTTTAGATTGTATTCAATCTTACAATAACTCTTACTAGAGGCACTATTTGAAGCTCGCATTTTAAAAATATTGTACAGCACCATGGAACGAACCCCTAAAACCTTTGGTAAAATTATTTCACTGATTGGTACACTTTAAAGCCCCTCTGCACTAGTTTGACCAGGAGGGATAATACATGTACCTCCCTGCATGGTCACTGACAGATCAAATCAACTCTCAATTAACATAAGAAAAAGGGGATCATGGGGGACCAACAGGCACCGATTAGGCATTGTTTGCTATATAGAGGGCGCAAGTAGCTATAAGTAGTGCAGTGGGGTTTTAAAGCTCACCTGAGAGAAGGACGGAAGAGCTTCCACTACACCTAATGATGATGTTCCCTGGTTAGGATCATCCTGCATCAGTTCTTCTAAGATACGAGGTGGTACCGACCCGACCACACCTTGGTCCCACCTACTTGAATCTGTGATGCCAGATGATGTGCTTGGTTCGGATGTGTCTTTACTGCAAAAAGAAGAACGGAGTCGGCTTTATATCAACAGGGATCATTGTTGTGTTGTGGGTTGGAAAGTAATAACTATTAGGCTAAATAAATATAAGTATAGAGACAAATAAAATGGAGCCTGCAGAAACATGTGTGGTTGCTTTGGTAGTTTAATCCAGACTCAATATCCATGTGCTTTAACATGTGCATCAATCTGTGTAGAGAACATGAGACCCTTGCATACACTTGCATTGTGTGTATGCATCTTTAATATGAATAACAATGAGCAGTGCCTAAACAGCTGCACTGCATTTTCTAGGTTAGCTTCAATGGCATGTTAGTCTCAATGCACCTGTTTCTAAACATAACATTCATCTCAAGAAGTAGTTTCAGAGACGAAGAATAATTTGGAGTAACTGGGCCTGATTTTAGAAATACATGTACAGCTGAAATGCACACAATAATGCCTCTGCAAAATATACAGAACTAATAGAATGCTACATATGAATGGGTTTTCTTTCGGTTACTAGTGAACAGAAAACTAAAAGTTCACAGAAGACAATATCTACCCAATTTCAGCTACAGCATAGCTTCAAAACTGAATGATAAAGATCTATTCAAGTAATAATCAATTTACAATCCAATTTCCGGAAGACAAGAGATTGTGAAACTTTCTGAACCATGAGAGTGCAGTCATTAAACACAACGTCAGCAATTAAAATGGACAGTGAAATTACATTTACCTCATCCAGTGTTGAATAAACTTTGAATTTGAATTTGAACTTTGAATTTGAATTTAATACTTTATTTTGAGTTGTGAATGATCCATACAGTCCTGGAAGAGGGTAGCCACTGTACAGTATGCACTTTTATCAGGGTACATGTTACAGCAAGAACAAATCATCTATTTGAATCCCGGAGGGCATTCACTCTGTGTGAAATGATGTGAGCTAACACTTTTCTGGCTCCAAACAGATGAAATTACACCAACTTAAAGAGAGAGTTCCGGGATAAAATGACAAATTATTTGTGAGCGTTATCATTGTTATTACTAAATAGGGAAGAACATCAGATAAAAAATGTTCCCTGAAAAGCATTGCTCTTCAAATGCTTTCATATTCTAAATATGGCATGTAACAACATAAACATCGGGTTGGATTTTTATGCCACATGTTTGTGTAGCCCCTTATACATCTTTCTGTGTACAGTGCTTGTAACTTTACCAAGACTGGGCCAAATTTCTTATCGTTTTGATGATTCCAGAACCTTGCAGTACACACCAATACTTACATGCTAGATGATTTGATCGATTCCACACCGTTTCTTTCATAATGCAATTGCATGACCAGAACTCAACTTTGTCTTTAAACCTACCTTGCTGAATGTTTTGATTTCTGACCCCTGTAACTCTCTAGGATTTGTTCCTGCAGGTCCTTTGGAAGTTCTTGAAGTACTGACATATCAATCTGTGGTGGAACAAAAGACACACACATTGATAGAAACTGAAACAAGACATACAAATATGTCAATCCCAAAAGGGAAGGATTGAAACAAGAGATTGAAAGAAGAGATTGCAAGAACAATCAAACAAATGGCTTCTTTAAGGATTGTAGAGTTTACTTTGCAAAAATGGTTTTACTTAACTCATAGATGAATGAACATGTCATGTCCTACAGTCCTTTATTCCTAAACTCCTGCATAGCTAATAAAGTCATTTCTGTTCGACAACCGATACAGGTTCGCATATTTCAAATTGAATCCCTAATTAATATATATTAATTATAACCACATCCAAGTATTCATATTACAGAATTAACCATAAATAGGCTTAGAGAAAAATTTATCACAAATGTTAAGAGAAGTGTCTATGCCACCAAGGTTTTTGAAGAGTTGGTAAAAACAACTTTAAAGTGTTACAATATTTTACGTGGAATAATGTTTTTATTGTGAACTGGGCATAAAAATATAATCAATGGAAGTACACTGTAAAATGAGGTTACCTGTTTTAGTTTTAGGGTTTAAAAAATACATTCTCGGCCACAAGAACCTGTTTCTCACTATTATTCAATGGGAACTTATGTTCACAGAATGGAAGGGGTTTAAAATCAATTACAATACCTGAGAGGGGGACGGAAGGGCAAGATGGCCGGACAGACGGCTCGACTGCAGGTCCTTTGGACCAGGAATGAACGGTAGAGGGGGAAGGATGGATTTCCTCTTCTTCCGTGGTGTCTTTGAAGTAGAGTCCTTAATAACATCAACCGCTGAAACCTCAGCATCTGCAGAAGTTTCAGCATCTGCTCGCCTCTTGGACACAAAATTGAGCATAGTTCTCACTTTAGGTTTGGACCCTGATGGGGCAGTTGATGCTGATGATAGGCTAGTGGACTGATCTGTATCTCTATGAGTGCTTTCGACAGGGTCAGGTGCGATGTCAGCAGGCTTGGGTTTTGTCATGAAGGCTGTAATGGATTTGCTGGGAAGGGTTCCGGCTTGAGCAGACGAGCTGAGCTTACTGAGCTGAATTCCAACCTGTAGACAAATGTCACCAAAAAAAAAAAAATGTTAGTACAAGCATATACTCATGTCTACATCTTGAACTTGTACATCTTTGCATTCTTTCTGAATGACTTGAATGACCTTGCATTGACCTCACATATATCCCTTGACCTTTGAACTTACTCCTCTCATATCTGAGGCATGTAATTATTTATTTGATTTATTAAATATACTAATTATTATTTAATTATAGCAGTTTTTTTTAGCCTCTCTCCATTACAAAACTAAGACCTCTCAGCAATACCCCTCTGATATCCATAACTGTGATATCTTCTCCCTTGAGGAGTTTATTGGTTGATATCCCGATCTCTTGGACGTCATCTGTGGCTTCCCCTAGTGTACATGACACCAAGTTTTTTTTAGAAAAGACCACTGAACTTACCAAAGAATCTAAGACATTTCCTTGTTCTACAACTTACCCTTCTCAAATCTACAACTTACCCCTCTCATATCTACAACTTACTCCTCTCATATCTACAACTTACCCTTCTCATATCTACAACTTACCCCTCTCATATCTACAACTTACCCCTCTCATATCTACAACTTACCCCTCTCATATCTACAGCTGGGACCTGTAATTCTTTCAGAAGATTCTTGCTCTCTTTCTGGATCACCTGGACATCCTCCGTAGCTTGGCCCAGGGTACATGACCTTGCCTTGTCCTCGCATATGCCATGACCCATGAACTTTGAAGTTTCTTTGGGGGCATCAGGATGACGAACCTACAAGGTGCAAGGATAAAATTGTGACATGAATATACCTGGGAATATACATGGGAACTAACCCAAATCCGACCAAAGGGAACACAGAAATTAACAGAGATGAAGGACACAGTGTGAGAGATACAGATGTGGACAGAGAGAGAGAAAAAAAAGAGAGAGAGAGAGAAAAAGAGAGAGAGAGAGAGAGAGAGAGAGATGAGGGGGTGGGGTGGGGGGAGAGGAGCAGACAAAAAGGAAAGATATACAGAAATAAAAGAGATAGAGAGGGGAAGAGAGAGATGGAGGAGAGGGGAAGAGAGAGATGGAGGAGAGTGGGAGGGGGAGAGGAAGAATTAGAAGAGGAAGAGGAAGATAGAGAGAACATAAAAAAAGAAGAGAGTGAGAGAAAGTTTTTGTATGAGATCACATACCTTTAGTTTGATAGTAATAGTCCTGGCAAGCATCTTGATTGCTGTAAGTCTCTTGTGGACCTCTGCTGCCAGCTCTGTGATGAACTTCTCTGAGTCACTTTCCTGAAATATTTGATAAACAATGGATAAACTCATTTCAAACGGCGTCTGAACCACAGAGACCAATAATCACAGCACACATGCAAAGGGTATTCCACAAGCCTAAGAATGCACCTCATTTACATACATGAATCTTTTAATGGGGGGGGGGGGGGGGGACATAATTGTTGTTTTTCCCTGTAAGTAAATAACAATTACATTACATTACTATTTGATGCTCGTGTGTTAGCTACCATCTGAAACTCAAAGTTCACTTAATAAGCCATGCAAGTCTACCACAAAAGATTTCCTCTAAACATTTGTGTGTTTATGTTTGTGTGATATTTTGAGAAATGTATCCAGTTAACTCTGCATAACTTAATTTTCGCTACGCTGAATCTATATATTTTTTAAACAAACCATGCACAAAATGTGTTAACACTTCCTAAGCCAAATTCTGCATTATAAGCCAAAATATGTTTTTGAGGATCCAACGGATTTGAGTCGACTGTATTGGTGATAATAAAGAGCTCGGATGCTACCCACCTGCTTGAATCGGATGCCATAGTTGACCTCTGCCGATACAGATTTCCTCTCCTGCTCCTGTCGTATCGGTCGATCATCCAGCCCACGGCAGAATCCGTAGAGCAACTGACCGGTCTTCTGTCCAAACTCCTTCTGTACGGCTCCCAAGGACAGCTGCTGTAGGTCAGCACAGGTCTTGATGTCCAAGGTCTCCATCTTGCGAGTTGTAGAACGCCCAACCCCTGGTGGTCATCATGAGAAATATGAAGTATTTCATACCAAATCCTCTCATATCAATTCTTGATGCAGAAATACATGTATGAAGATTAAAATCAGCACAGGGGTTGAACCTATTACAAATTCTTGCATAAGTATAGAAATCATATGGCCTCGGTTTTGGGAGTTCTGGTCTATCTCATCTACGTTGGTCATTACAAGGAATTTTAAACAATTCACTTCAACATACGACGATGATGATGATGATTCACAGCATTTGTATGGCGCTATATATCTGTTTCAAAAAAACATTCAAAGGTACGAGCTCCTCCAGTAAAGTTAGCATTTAAATGTCTGAAGAAAGTTGTGAGTTTTTTGAGTGAAGCTTTGAAGTGGTCCAAGTTGCCAATTTCACGAATAAATGGTGGGAGGGAATCCCACAGTCGAGGAGCAATACAATACAATGTAGCACATGAATGAGAACATTTTTGCTTTATCACTATAAAGTAGAACCTACCAGTTATGTTTAAGTAGATTTTGTTTTTATAAGTCATTAAAAAAGGTAAATTACAAGCAGATGGATGAATTATCTACACACGAAAATTAATACCAAACTTGTCTGATAGACTAGGAATTTCATTCAGAGAGAGAAATGTCTTATTAATACCTGGCAAGTCTTTGACTGGTTGGGTCCGGATGAATGCATCTGCAGCATGAGGCTCTACGATGAACTGTCCATTGGGTTTGGCCACTCGGGTAGCCATTCTGGCAAGAAGGATGTTGGATGCTAACGTAAAAAGAAAATGCAGAAGATATTATTTTACATATATAAACCCATAGTCAGTTTTGCTAAGCTCCCAAAATCTTCTCTGTTAGATTTTTTTTTTTTTTTTTTTTTTTGGGGGGGGGGGGGGATTAATAACAGAGCAATCAAGCTATTGTGTCTCATGATATGATACTCACTACATGTCAGCTTTCAGTATAGATGATCTTTTAATAAAGCATAGATCAGGCTACATAGGAAGTGAAAGGACACATTTGATGTCAATTTGTGTTCTGAATCAAAATACTTGGTAATGTAAGGGACATCAAATAACTACATTTTGGACTTGCCCTGCATGATACTAGCAAAACTTACCTGCTGTGAGTTTTTTTAAATTTCATTTTTTAAGAGTGCAATATCAAACACACAAGACTCGGTGCCTTGCTGACATTCAAAATTCCATGTAAGTTGCAATGCTGCAAGATATCTCATGTGCGTTCACTGGTGGTCCAAGAGGGGGTTTAAACATGTAACTGAGACAGGTTTGAAAATCAGCTACAGCTTTCAATTTTGATTGGACAAGTTTGAAATTCGGCAACAGGTTAATGTTCAGTCTCAACCAAAGCTATTTATGAAATGTTGGTTAGAAAGTGCTTCAAGAAATGGCTCATTTTGCACCAGCATTCATCTTAGAACCTTAGAGCCTCAGCAAGCCCTGGACTCAGGCTTCAAAGGACTTTCTGCTTCACATGCATCACTTCATACTCGTTCCCGTTTCCAGTTTTACATGTTTGATTGAGGACCACTCTGGTTCACTGAACACGTATACCAGACAGCGACCTACCTATTCCTGCCGAGGCATTGCACTGCGTTTGATCCTTGATCTCCTTCCTCAGCATCTGAACAAACTCTTCAGCAGAGGCTTTGGTGTCTCTCAAGATCCCCGAGATGTCAACAAACATTTCATCACAGCTCACTGCCTCAATGTCATGCGTGTAGCTGCAACGAAAGAATAAAATATAGCAGTGCATGTTTAATCAACAGTTTTGGAGGGAGTTATTAAAGGTCATTCACAATGTTCAATCAGTACGGTGGTGAGGTGAATAGGTGCTCTGACTGGTAGAGCTAGTTAGTCTGCCTAGACCAAATTGATAATCAGTTTTCTTCAATAAACTTTGAAAAGTCTGTCTGAGAACAAAATCTATCAAGTTAACCCTATTTTAACTGGGCTATTTCAGACCAGGTTTTTACTGGGGGGGGGGGGGGGTCAATTTGACCCCCCCCCCCTAAGATCTCGGCCGTTTCACCGCCGATCACCGCGAAAATTTGCATGCATGTCAAGTGAAGTGTATAGAATACTATGGTAATTTCAAATTTTTGAAAAATTCACTCATTTGCATATTTATGGTAATTTATGCAAATAAGGTCAGAAAATTCACATTTCGGCCCATAAATCATAGATTATTCATATTTAAGTATTCTTTTTCACTACATATATTTATTAGACCATTTGGAATAATAATACAACACAAAAAATTGGAAGAGCCAGGTTATTCCTTATGTTATCTCTTGTTTTTATAATTTCTTATGTATTTCATTGTTTTTTTAACTTACGTATTTTAATGTTTTTGTTGTTTTATTTCATTTATAACTACAATTCAACTATTTTGACCGCAAAACAAACATCTAAACTTTAAACAAGACTGAATAACCAATGTTTTATCTATTTTTAGGAAAAATGACTTTTACATATGTTTTGTACACAAATCACGAAAATGAGCGATTTTCGGGCTGACATGCAAAGACAAAAGGTCACGCGACCTTGTAACCGTAGGTCCGATTTTCAAAAAAATCGTTTTAAAAGATGCGTAAGACTCGAAAGTAAAAAGTCAGGAGAGGAAAATTTTATATCTGCCGCGGTTTCGGAGTAGTCGCGAAATTTCTACAGGGGGGGGTCAAATTGACCCCCCCCCCCCCAGTTAACGTAGGGTTAATGTGGATTTCTTGATCACTTCTGGTGATTTTATAAATTTGAATTATTTGACAAAATTCTCATTTTTGTTGTTTTTGCTGGGCTCTATTTTCAATTGCTCTTTTTAGAGTCCTAAGGGCCAACTACCCTTGATATCCCATCACTACGCCCCCCCCCCCCCCCCCCTCCCCTTCCCTTTTCAACAAAATGTCTCTAGATAGTGTATATCTTTTGCCACAATGACATCTTTGAGGAATAAGACAGCACTAAATACCACTCCTCACCTGGCAACGATGTCATACAGTTTCTGTGAGACTCTCTTGTAGCCGTCAAAGTCGTAGGGAATCGTCTGGAGTTCAGGGCACAGCGACTTGGCCCTCCCCATGAACATACCATTCTTCACGCCCGCCTTCCTAGCTACGTAGTTACAAGACGCAATCTCAGCCATTGAGTGGAAGGTTTCCTTAGGTTTGCCACTGGACGAAGACGATGATGCGCCTCCTGCTGTACCTGTACCTGTCACTTTGGCATCTGAAGAACTGTTGCTCTGATCCTCCTTGTGGTTCTGGCGTGCGGCTTCAGACCCATACTTCTTCTCATAGTACTCGCGCTCAAACTGACTGATTTCTTGTCTATGTTCAGACATGCCACTCTGTCCTTTGGAGTGTGTCACTGCCACAGGCTTGTCAACAAGGTCAGGTCGCTTGATCAGTCCAACCGATACAAAGAAACAGTCCATGTCAATATGCATGATCCTTCTCATCTTCTCTTTTCCTTTTGTGGTCTTTGATGAACCTGTTGCCCGGTGTTCACTTTCTTTGGGATCTATCATGGCATCCTCACTCCAGTCTCGATCATCATCCTCTGTACCAACCACTCCAAGTTCACATTTCTTTGCCTGTCTTTGGCTCTTTCCTTCTTTCATGATGGCTAGGAGCCTCTGCCTTCCTGGAAACGTGGCATCTCCGTTGCTCTGGAGTGCATTAACATAGGCCTTGCACTCCGCTCCCCATGTGGATATGTAATGCAGCCGGGAGTTGCTGTAAAACTCCGAGAGGAAGTTGGAGTCCCCCGCTGTGGCAATGCCAAACGATCTATTGGCTCTGCCCTGGACATTTGCATCCACTGCGGCAAGACTCTTGTCTGCTTTTGAAAGTGTAGATCCTTCATCATCTTCCTGTTCTTGAGAGACATCATCACTTCCTCCTTTCTCTGGAGCTGCTTTAGGGATAGGTGCTGGAATACTTGGAGCATCGGGTTTGACCCCTGGTCCTTTGGAAAACTGCAGGACTGCTTGGTTTTGCCGTGAAGACCTGTCTGTGTACAGCTCATAGGGTAAGGAAGGAAGCAGGCGACCAGCCTCGATACTGCAGAGTGAAAAATTCAAAATAAAAATGTCTTCCTCCATTTTCCTGATCATTCAACACACACACAAATGCTTATAATGGGTGTCTACTAAACAACTTGCTTGTCTACAAGGAAGAGTAAGAACTTTGAATCAAAATAATTTAATTTCTTTCTTGAATGGCAATTAAAATTGCAGTTTGGAAGTCATCAATAAGTCATCAATCCTCATAACAAAATCCCTTGGAGAAGACTTTAAATTACCAGTCCTCTGGATGCTCACTTACAAGCATATGCTTTCTTAGGTCAGTCAGGTAAAAGCAAACCCATCCAACCAAGGTATTTTCACCATAAATTACCTGTTTGTTATCCAGTCTGGCTTCACAATCTTCTCAGTTTTCAACTGTCTTAATTTTGCATAGGGCAGATTAGTAGCAATGATGTGCGTGACCCTTGACACAGAGTAGTAATGCTGGTACATCCCACCATGTATCGTCATGAGTCGCTTCAGTTCATCTGACGAAGGATCTGTTTAGAATGAACAAAAATAGAGTCAGAGGGCACTAAGGCTGTGCACAACAGTGTAATGAGGTACCCGAGTACACTTCCAGGCTTACAAGCGAATACTCGAATATGTCATGTTTTTTTAAATAATTTTTTAGATTTTTTTTAGATTTTTAAAGATTTTTTTAGATTTTTTTAAAGATTTTTTTTAGATTTTTTTAGATTTTTTTCATTTTTAGATTTTTAATTTTTTAATTTTTTTTGCCACCACCATACCACTGGTCCAGTATCCCAGTATCCTTGAAAACACATGCAATCTTACTTCGAGTTGCAGTTGAAGGCGCCAATTTAATAATAATAATATTAGTAAACAGTAAACAGTGCTGGTTTAAACACCAAAGATGGCAGAATAATCCATTGTCCTCCGAGTCCAAACAAAAATCCGGACATTTGGTCCCAGTTTCTGAGTGGTGAGCTTGACAGTGCTCGAGTTGGAAACATTTTTACCGACGGTATCACGCCAGCGGCCGCCGCTTTCCCTGGCACGGGTAAGCGTAGGCCTGGACAGGTTTTTTTTTTTGCTTGCTGCCGAATATTTGGGTACGAGAAATCGTACCCGAGTAGTTGTCAACCGTGCGTGGAGCTTGTAGAAACATGTGTGGTTGATTTGGTAGTTTAATTTAGACTCAATATCCATGTGCTTTAACATGTGCATTAATCTGTGTAGAGAACATAAGACCCTTGCATACACTTGCATTGTGTGTATGCATCTTTAATATGAATAACAATGAGCAGCTGCACTGCATTTCTAATAGCTTCAGTGGCATGTTAGTTTCAATGCACCTGTTTTCTAAACATAATAATACACTTCCCAAGTTATTCATTTTATAGGGTATAGACTAATACATTACCAAAATTATAGAATTTAGGCAGAAATAACAGTCTTGCGGAATTTCTAAAATAAAACGGCGAGACATTTACTTACTACTTGGGTATACTTGGGTGTTGAGACTGGAAGCTTAGCTTATTTGTGCCTCTTAATTGTCAACCTTTCACAATCACATGTATCGAGTCTACCGATAACAGATTATAATTACCCCCCCCCCCCCCCTTGGGGTGAGTGGCAAGGGTTCCCCATAAAAGCCACATCAGACATTTAATTTCTGTCTTGAAATTCCAGGGCTGTCAAATGTCAACCCTCCCGCATTTGGAGGGAATCTCATGCCCCCACGCTCATTCTCCTGCGCTTTGAGGAAGAATCTCCCAGTTCATGAAAAAACCTTTCGCCAAACATGGTAACCACACTTTCAATTTACCTTTTTTTGGGGTGCTCAATCAAGGGAGGGGGGGGGGGGGGGTAGTGAGCACTATGAATTTAATATTTTTTGTTGTTTAACTCAACACCCCTAGCCACTCCGGCGCTAGTGTAGCAAGGTATCCAAAATATAGCCTACTAAAACAGACCCCAAATTTCAGACCCCAAATTTTGTGGTCATCATTACCCTAACCCTAACCCTAACCCTAACCCTAACCCTAGAACCCTAACCCTAACCCTAACCCTAACCCAACCCTAACCCTAACCCTAGAGATAATGATAAACACGAAATTTGGGGTCTAAAATTTGAGGTCTGTTTTAGTAGGCTATATTTTGGATACCTTGCTACACTAGCGCCATAACTCCCCCCCCCCCCCCCCCCCACACACACACACACACAAAAGATGTTTGCATACAATCTCCCTTGAAGCAGTTCCCCAAGTTGACAGCCCTGTAAATTTCCCAATGACATCGTCACATTGCCAATCTCCAACTCCAGGCCATGCAAATTGCCAATCACATCAGCTCACACTACTCTCTCTCCATCAAATTTACTCTCACTCTCACTCTCACTATCACACTTAATTTAAGTCACTATGTTGATCCTTTAATAATCAATGCTTTCATTTGTGAAATAGATCTATGTAGAATATCACTGATGTCAAATCTTCAAAGAGTGTCAACAATAACTATCGTCATGAACGTCATGAACGTTGGGACAATGCAATGCTAGCTGAGCTGGGCAATGCCGCATGGCCATGGAAAATGCAGATCCCCGATCTAATAAGCGCTCAGCGATTCGCTCTTGTCGGGCCACGCTATACCGTCGGCTTAGACCTACCTGTGTAACCGTTCACATGGATAGTGACCCCGCGGAAAATGTCCGTCGACGTTCCCGATTTCTCTTTATTTGTAGGTGCATCACCTCGAAACTGTTCCTCGAGTTTTCGTACCTTCTCAGACATGTAGCCTCCATGACTTTGATCTTCATGTTCAGACTTATTCTTAATATTAGAAGAACCTCTCGAATGCATGATGCTTCACAATTTCAGATTTCGCTCCATCAGCATAAAATGTAACAAGTGGCAGTTTCAGAGCTAGAGAGCTAGAGACGGCCAACTCGGCAATATTTTGTATCACGCGCGCAGCTCTATATCGCGCGCAGTATACAGTGCATTATTTTGTTTACATGTTTGTGTAGATTTGGTGGGTAACAATATCTCCTTCTTCTTCCTTTTGAGTACAGACCTGTTTACAGAGTATTATCGTACTATACTGTGGGTGTGTGCAGGTGGACCACTAAACCGGGGTTGCCCCCTACGAATAGTGCAGTGGGTTCTTAACGTGCAAAGGTGACTCTTCTCTACACGGGACCTCCATTTAACGTCCTATCCGAGGGACGTTATCGTCCTGTCCTCCCCCTGCAAAATAGGTGAACATGCGATGAAGTGGCATATAGACTATATTAGCTAACTCACAGCTGGAGGGAGGTCCGAGGGCGAACCTCTTTGGTTATAATCCAATAATGTATCATGATTACCATCATTCTCAAAAAAAAAAAAAAAATCCACAAAGGATTAACAAAACAAAATGTGAAAAAAATTATGCTCCTAACTCCTTGCGGAAACCTGTTATTTCCCTGCGTACGTAAACTGTTAGTGTAATTCATATTTCGTATATCACCCGTTTGCAAGCATCCTCAACCTCATGTTGCAACATGTCGTCTGACATTACCATTGGCGGATTCAGGGGGGCACAGGGGGCACGTGCCCCCCCCCCCCCGATAAAAAAAGGAGGAAAGGGAGAAGGAGGAAAAAGTAAAAGGGAGAAAAGGAGAAAAAGGAGGGCAAAAAGAAAGAAAAGGGAAGAGAGGAAAAAGAAGAATAGAGGGAGGATAGAATATGCCAGTTTACGGTTGCAGTCTGCATGAGCATGAGCAGATAAAGGTCGATCATTTGTACCAAAAAGGTAAAACCAAGGAGTGTAGTAACTCCTTGGTAAAACCCACATAGATGAAGATTGAATATGCGCTCATGAAAGTTATGTAACATTATTCATTTATGCACCAACGGTATATTCTAAGATACGCAGGTGGAAGTATTCTTTTCAAGAGGGCAAACAAAAGGTATTCATGAAGCACATCTAGGACTTTGGCAGTTATTATTCTAAGATGCTCAAAGTGGAACTTCTCCATGTGTAAAAGATCTGTGGATATTTGGGGTCATTTGTACCATGTGCTATCTGTAAACTCCCTTATGCTATGGTCACATTACCCAAAGTAGGCTGCTCGGCGGCCGAGCGGCGAGTTTTTAACCAATTCTGCCCGGCGGCTGCCCGGCCACCGAGCGGCGGCCGCCCAGGCACCGCTCGATTTTAGGGCATCGCTCGGTCGCCGCTGAAGTTTTAGCGCGGAGTTAAAATTTGGGCGGCGCCTGCTCACTTTTCACTCGCCGCCCAAAATACGCTCGGTGCCTGGGCGGTCGCCGCCCGGGCACCGACCTAATCGCTGGGCGAAGCCTAATTCCAGCAGCGACCGAGCAGGCTACTGATCGGCCGGTCGCTGCTCAGATTTGTGACCATAGCTTTATAGGGGAGAGGAGAAAGAGGAGGGGGAAAGAAAGAAAGGTGAAGAGAGAGGAGAGAAAAGACGGAAAAGGAAGAAAGCGGGAAAGAAGGAGGAGAGAAAAGGGGGAAAAGGAGAATAATGAGAAGGGAAAAGAAAGAAAGGTAGATGAAATTATAAAAAGGTGTTTTTTTGGGGGGGCGGGGGGCACGCTATTTTGCAATGTGCATAATATGGGGTCCCTCTAATTGTCAGGCGTTTAGCCCCCCCCCCCAAAAAAAAAAAAAAAAAACAGCACAAGAAGAACAAAAGAAAAAGATGGAAAAAAGGGCGAAAGAGAGAAAAAAATTGAGCTAAAGGAGAAAGGGAAAAAATGAAAGAGAAATAAATAACGATAGAAGAGAGGTGCGAAAGCATGAGGAATTGCCTTTTTTTAAACAAAATATGATAACAACCAGGGGCGTCGCTAAAGGGGGGTGTGGGGGAATGCGACACGCACCCCCCCCCCCCCCCCCCCCCCCATCTGTTAGGAAATTGTCGGTAAAACTGTTCTGCTTGGGGAAAAATGAGAAGGAAAGGGAAAGAGAAGGAAAGGGAAAGAAAAGAAAAGAAGAAAAGAACAAGAAAGGAAAGAGAAGAGAGGAAAGAGAAGAGAAAAAAAAGAGAGAAAAAAGAAAAACAGGAAGGAAAGGGAGAAAACTGCGTACGTAAAATATATCATACTACGTCGAATCATTATATTCGATCCAACTTCGATCTTGTTACTGACGTACACGATTATAATACGAGAAATATTATTGTATATTGTTGTATGTTGGAAGCTTGTCGAATAAAAATCAATCAAGAAAGAAAAAAAGGAGAAAAGGAAAAGGAAAAAAAGAAGGGAAAAGGAAAACGAGAGAAACGGGGGATGAAAGAGAGGAGAGAGAGAGAGAGAGAGAGGGGGAGGGAGAGACGGGGGGGGGGGGGTCAGAGCCTGGGAGAGGATGGGTGAGAGTCAGAGAGAGAGAGAGGGGGATGTTGGGTGGAGTCACCACGTCGAGGGGGCAAGAAAGTGTCCGCTGTGTCGGTATTCTTACTCAATCCTCGTGTATTATATTAATGCAGAAGTTTGAAGTCGGTGAGATGTATTATGTCGGTCGAACTGTGACTTTTCATCGGACAAGGAAACATTTTTGAGAATTCAGATAATGACTAAGAGTCGGAACAACGAATTGTCTCCTTTCTCTAATAATTAAATGAAACGTCAAAGCTTCCACACTTCGGGTGGGAATGGGAAAACTGAATTCAGGCAAGGATTAAGAAACGAAATAGTACAACAAATCGTCTCCTTTCTCTAATAATTTAATGAAACGTCACAGCTTCCGCGCTTTGCGCGGGAGGGAGGGGGGGGGGACTGAATTCAGACAAATATTAAGAGTAGAAAACGGTGCAACGAATCGTCTTCTTTCTCTCTAATAATTTAATGAAACGTGAAAGCTACTTCGCGCGGGAGGGGAGAAACTGAATTCAGACAAGGCCTATGAGTAATCATTTAATGAAACGTCAAAGCTTTTGCGCTTTGCGCGGTAGGGGGGAAACTGAATTCAGACAAGGATTAATAGTAGAGAACGGTACAAGGAATCGTCTTCTTTCTCTAGTAATTTAATTAAACGGCAAAGCTTTCGCGCTTCGACGGAGGGGGGCAACTGAATTCAGACTAGGATTTAGAGTCGAAAACAGTACAACAAATCGTCTTCTCTAATAACTTAATGAAACGTGAAAGCTTCGGCGCTTCGCGCGGGATGGGCTTAAATGAAATCAGACAAGGATTAAGAGTAATAATTAAATGAAATGTCAAAGCTTCCGCGAGAGGGGGATACTGAATTCAGACAAGGACAAGATACAACGAATCGTCTTCTTTCTATTAAATGTACGTCGTAGCTTCTGCGCTCCGCGCGGTAGGGGCGAAACAAGAAGTAGGCTAAGAGTCGGGAACGGTACAACGAATCGTCTTCTTTCTCTAATAATTAAATGAAGTGTCAAAATTTCGCTTCATATTACTCCAGGAAGTGCCTGAAAATGCACATAATGTGGTTCTAAAATTGCAAATGCTAGTACTCGGGGAGGGGGTTATGATACCCCTCCCAGACCCATCCCCTGCTAATTAGTCGCTCCGCTCCCTCGCCGCTAACACCTCGCTCCATCGTTTTACATATATTTCACCCCATGCGATTTTGTGCTCCCCCCCCCCGTAAGAAATTCGTGGATCCGCCACTGTGTTAGTACAAAATCTAACAATTTTAACAAAATCTAATGATAGAGGTCGTGTGAATTTCAAGGAGAAATTACAATTTCTATCGTTCGTGATGGCCATCTTGATTATCAAAATTGTTAAAAACTCTACAGCGTGAGGGGGTTCCACCCCTGGACCCCCCCCCCCAAAAAAAAAGGGGGGGGGGGGCTCTGCCCTGCAACCCATCATGGCTCCTAAGGCAGCCCCTAGACCACATTCCCAAGACAACCCTTTGTTCCATTAAATTATCCTTGAGAGAGAGAGAGAGTGTGTGTGAAAGAGATTTGATGTCCAACAAATTATACCCATAGGGGGTAGGGACGGGATCTAGGGGAATTCCCCCGGAAAATTTGAAAAGTGCCCCCCAAAATGTATAGCAAATACTGACTAAAGACTGCAACACACTTTAAAGGTACTATGTCCCATTTGCAGGCCAACAAAATGAAAAGGTTAAATTCCAATGGCATTTGAAAGATAATACTAATTTAGAAATCCCCTTAAAAAAAAGGGGGGGGGCTTGAGAATGTCTTTAAGTGGGAAAAAAATGACTATTAGTTGCCAAATCGACTTAGGAGCTATAGAGCCAATAAGTAATAGTCTTAATTTTCAGACCATTGTACCGCATGGTCGTACGTTTTATGCTGCTCAAAGATTCAATCAGTTTAATTTTGGCCATTACAAGAAGTAGGTTATTCATGTAGACAAATCCTTTCAGCTCATTTTAGGTATGTTATTACCAAAGAAGAAAGAAGCCAATCACTCTCTCAATATTGACAATAGTGTCTGACTGTGAAGTCTAGCAAGTAAACGGGTTTCTTTGCCTAATTTGAATATTAGGACACTGCTAACGTTTAAATGTCACAGCACATGACATATTCATAATTCCTGCAAAGTTCTACAGAATTTAAGGTTGGCTGCAAAAGGGACATAGAATCTTTAGGGCTCTGGCGCGATTTTTAAATATTCGGGAGCAACAAAAAAAAGTGCTCTTACCCGTGTGCCCCCCCCCCCCCGGGAAGAAATTGCTGGATCCGCCCCTGTGGTAGGGTCATCATTCACAGCTTACCATCTCCCAGCCAGGAATTAGAGCAACTTACATCGACTAAGCAATATATATACAAATAATAAAGAAAATTAGAAATCTTACTGGGCGTGCCGTTTACCTAAACAGTTTAAGAGGCAGGGCCTGGTAGGTTCATCATTCACAGGTCACCATCTTCCAGCCAGGTATTAACCACACTTACATCGAGTAAGCAATACAAATG